CTGTCGAGAAGCGCCGGCGTGGCGGGCCGGGCTGCCCGGCGCCACCCGCGCGGAGATGGGAATGCCCACTGCTTACCACATCTGTATAAAGTGCTGTGTGATTAAACTTTTTTTTACTTGCATTTTTTTTGGTTTGGCTCATTACAATGTACAAAAGTCAAGGTGGCACCATTAAACCTGCCTCTGCCATTCATCCGGGCTCTGTGGCCTTTCTTCCCTGGGCTCCGCCACCCTCTCCCGGGGAGGGGCCCTGGGGCGGGCGGCGGCCCCGCCTGGCCAGGCTGCCCCCGGCCCGCCCCTGCGTCGGAGCTAAGGGCCTCAGGGCTAAGGGCCTCGGGCTGCTCTGGCCTCCGGTCCCCTGCAGAGCCTCTGCGCCGAGCTGTGGACTGGTCCTCAGCGTTGTGTGTCCAGCACAGCCCCTTCCAGGCACAGGGGGTCCGACACCCCAGCACTTGGCTGGCTTTCAGCCAAAACGGGTGGCCAGGTGGGGGCCCCTGCTGCTCACTGGTGCCCAACACACCCCTGTGAGGGTGGGCGGCAGCTCGGCCGGGGCAGCCCGAGAGCCCCCCGGAGGCACAGCAGGCTTTGGGGAACAGCCGTCTGCCCGTCCGACGTGTTGCTCCGTGTCCATGTCCTTGGGGCCACTCAGGCGCTGTCCCTTTGCGCCGAGACTGGCCTCGGGCGGCTTGGAGCCTCCTGTTCCCAGTGCGGCGGGGGCAGTGGGCCGCGGTCTCCGGCTTCCTCAGGCCAGAGGGGCGCTGCGGGGCCGGCTCGTCACCCGCAGCAGCCGGGCCAACCCTGTCCAGGGCTCGCCGCCGGAATGACCACGTCCAGGCGCCAGTGCCACACATCACCCGGTTCAGCAGGCACCACTGGGCATCCTTGGAGTTGAACTCGAGGACCTGGGGAGGAGCAAGAGCCCCTCTCGCCCACCCCCGGATCAGACCAGCGGCCGGGAATGTCACTTTATTGGCTCTGATTCGCGGGTGGGCCCCCGGAACACAGGCGTGCCTTCCCGGGGCGGCCCCAGCCTGCTGGGCTTCTGCCCGGGGCCTGCTTCTGGCCTTGGTTTGCAGGGCTGTCCTTCACAGGGTGTCCACTTCCCTCCTCCAGGAGTCCTCCAGGCCACGTGACAGGTGGACAGGTCCCCCAGCCCAGACAGTGGACCGGTCTGGAGCGGCCCGAGCAGCAGCGAGAGGCGCCAGCGAGGCCCTCGGGGTCACAGCGGCGTCCCCGGAGGTGGCGTCTGCCGAGGCTCCCGGCCGGGTGGGGGCGGCACGCAGCCACTGGCCATCCAGAGGTAGTCCGCGTGCACCTGGCCCTGCACAGCCTCGGTGACCATCAGCTCCCCGTCCACGGCAAACACGCCCTTCCCGTCCTTGGGCTCCAGGCGGAAGGCGACCACGGGCACGTACACCAGGTAGGGGCAGTCGGACTCCATGTGCCGGCCCTTCTCCATGGCCAGGAAGAGGCGCAGCAGCGTGGCTCGCGACACGCCGGCCCGCACGTAGAACAGGTGCATGGACCCCGCCGCCCCGCGGCCCATGGGCGCCGCGAACATCTCGCTGCCCAGGTGCGAGTGCAGCAGCGCCAGCACCAGCACGAAGTCCTGCTCGGGCACCACGGTCCAGTGCGAGGGCACCGGCGCCCCCAGGGGCACCAGGTGGCCGTCCACGGGGCCCTGCTGGTCCTGCCCGCCCGCGGCGGCGGGGGCGGGCGCCTGGGCGACCACGCTGTCTGCCGGGAGGTAGGACAGCCGGCCCTGGTAGGTGCGCAGGACGGCCAGGCGCAGGAAGGTGCCCAGCGTGAAGCGCAGCTCCCCCAGGCGCCGGTACTTCTCGCTCTCCAAGTCCACGTCGGCGATGAAGCCCCACGCCAGGCTGAGCACGGAGAAGAGGCGCAGGCCAGAGGCCATCCGCAGGGACAGCAGGTCCACGGGCGCCAGCAGCCGGCGGCACAGCAGCAGCGTGCAGTTGGTCAGGAGGTCCTCGTTGGTCACCTGCTCGTTGCTGCAGGCCAGACCAGGCAGGAGTGGGCGGGAGCCCGGGCGCGCCCCGCCCTCCTGCCTCCCACGGAGGCCTCAGGGGATCCAGAAAATGACCAGGGGAGCCAGCCAGCTGGAGCAGGGATGGGGGCAGAGGGAAGGGCCACGGGCCCCAAAGGGGTCGGCAGGTGGCCAGAAAAGAAAACCCCGCTGGGAGGGGCACAGCCCACCGCCCCGGGCTCACCCAGCGTAGTGATTCAAAGACGCGGCCAGCGCGTTGCCCGAGCCAGCTGGGAGGCTACACAGCGGCTTCTGGATGGCCAGCTGCCAGTCCGGTCGCTCCATGAGCCCGTTCACCACCTGCTGGGGCAGGCAGGGGTGGCCTCAGCCAGGGCAGCACCCAGCCCGGCCGCCCGGCCCGGGCGCGGCAGCCTCACCTCGTGCATCAGCCCGTCCCCAGACATGACCACCAGCGCGTCCCAGCGGCTCAGCTCCTCGGCGCGCACAAACTCCCGGGCGTGGTTGCGGCGCTCTGAGGGGAGACGGCGGTCGGTGTGCAGGCCTGCCGGCGCCCCCGCGCCCCCCAGAGACACTCACCGGTGAGCATCAGCGTGAAGGAGATCTCGGCCTGGGCCAGCAGAGGCTGCACGTGGCTCCGGAAGAGCTGCAGGGCCTTGCCCTTGCCGCCTCGAGGGTTCAGCAGCACCAGCACTTTGCAGGGCCGCGGGAGCAGGCCGCGGGGGGCGGGGGCTGGAGAAGAAACCCGGAAAGGCGGCGTCCCCAACCGGCCACTAGGGGGCCCAGGCTCGGGGCGCCGGGCTGGGCACTTGGCCGAAATAGCCGGGGTAGAAGGCCACGTGCGCCGGCCAGGCGGCGGAGGCCTCGGTGCGGGGGCGGCGGGGGCCTGGGGGCTCCGGGCGGGCGGGAGCGCAGCGCCCTCGACGCCCTCCCTGCTCAGGGCCCGCCGGGTCTGGCCTCTTCGAGTGTCTCTGGCGGCCCCATTCCCTCTTGTCCAGCCAACTCAGGGCGCCCTTCGGGGTCCTCTCAGACCCCCACAAACCTGCATCCATAACTTCGCCCGCGGCTCCCGCTGGCAGGGGACCCCTAGCGCAGTCGCGGCGGTACGGCGGCGGCGGCTCCAGCGCTCAGCTCCTTATCTGCGCCGCCCAGGCGGGCGTTGCGGTGGGGCGCGCCCTCCCTGCCCGGAGCCGGGGCTGTGGGGACACTCGCCTCATTCCCTGCCGCTGCCGGACCTGAGGGAGACAAGACGGCGCTGGCGGAGTCCGCAGCAAGCCCTCGGGCGGTTGGCGCCCAGCTGGATCCTCAGACCACGCGCGGGAAGCCGCGCGCTCAGCATGGCGGGGACCGCGGGCTGGGGGGACTCGTTCTCCGAGTCCCAGAGAACCGAGATCCCGAGCCGCTGAGGACGCCCCCGCCCTAGGCCGCGGTCCACACGGGCAGCAGCGACGGGTCCCTTCCCGGGGCCTTGCCCTCCCCGCGGCTCGGGCTTCCGGCCAGGCGTTGAGTCAGCGCCCCGCGGGGCTCCCCCTCGGAGCAGCTCCCGACCCCCGCCCGGGCTGCTCAGTCGCGTGAGAATCCCAGAGCTTGACTGGACACCGCGGGGCACGAAGTTTGGGTGAGCGATCCTCGCCCCCAGCCAGCCTGGTCGCGGGGTTCGCGGTCGCGAGCTCCAGAGCGGCGGCCGGGGGTCCCAGCGCGCGCCTCGGGGGA